CTAAACCCTACACCCTAAACTGTACTTCTGGCACATACTGGGCAGTGAGCTCAGGGGGTCATGATGAAACAAGCTCGTGATAAGAAGCACGAGCGAGGATGGAAGCTCAAGTGAGGGACATGAAAGGAAAATCTCATACTTTCGACACTTGGGTCGGCGGCAACCTCAAACCGCAAAGCGTGGCGCTTCCGGGCTTCAGGTGTTGCGTACATTTGTCACAGCGGGAGCAGATGCCCTAACTACAAGTGTAGAACAAATATGAAAGTACTCATGCTTACTCCTCACAGCTGCCCTGAGGACGCAAAAAAAAACAAGCACAAGCTGTAAGTGTCACAGGTAGACTCATCCATAAAACGGTGAAAGGTTCAAAAGCTTGACTCGTGGGTACCCATAGGGTAGCAGGGGACTCCATAACAACTAACAGTCAAGAACCGAACCAAACAGCTAGCAGGCTTTCTAAGGCCCTTCTCAATCTGTCAACTTGCATGAAGGGGCCTTCGTTGGATCGTATTCCCTATTGGGACTTCCCATACATGGGGTTTCGCTGTCAGGGCTGAGGTGGTATGGAACAAGGTCCCATGAAACAAGGCAGTCAATCAGGAACGCAGATGGGCGGGTTCCCGCCTCTGTCAGTTCCTGTAGGCACCTGCAGAAGCCAAAAGTTGCAACTCTTCTGCGTCTGCGGCTTTTGGTGCGGTGTGTTTCCATTTGTATACAAAGAGGTCAATGAGGAGACCTCCTTGCTGTTTAGAAGTACTGTTGATACTAAAATTCCTGCATGACCTTAATAAACTATAGCCCCATAATTCCCCATATATAATGTACTTGGGGTCATGCAGTATCCACCGTATTAGGTGGGGTGCAGGGTTATTTTCAACGTTTTGACCTGTAGGCTTTGGGATCCCGAAAGCCAGGTTGAGGAAGGATGCAAACAAGGGTGGGGGGGCCCTAAACCCCAAACCCACCCTAAACCCTAAATGGTAGTTTCCTTTTTATTTTCCCCTATCCCAGTAGAACCCCAATATAACCCTAATATTACCCGAATAGGTCCTTAGCCGGGGGAGGGCGGATAAGCCCACATGGCTGCAGAGCCACTTTTCAAGGATCCCAAGGGCCCTGCTGGCAACTCCTCAAGGGGGGTCTATATGGGACTACTGTAAGGTTTATTAAGGGGGATACAGGGAGTTTAGACTAAACTCTTTGGCAGTGTCCCAATGTGAACTGGGCGAAGTAGTCAAGCATTGGGGGTTTAGGGTTTAGGGCTGAGGGCTTCGAGTGTAGGGCCTATAGGGTCTACAATCCAGCTGCTGCATAACCTGATCAGAAGAAAACCCTGGAACCCTATCTAGTTGCGAGAGTGTGTGCCACAGGATTAGCTTGTATCCCCTATCGAAGCAGAAGATCAGAAGATGGATTGCTACAGGTCACAGGGTGGGCCCCGTGCGTCTTGTCGATCTACTGCTGGACCATACAAGTATTTTCTGCAAACGCCCACAGTCTGAAAATCCCGTTTTAGAAACCCCCATACATCCATGCTACCCTCCATCCGGCCTCTCCTGCCTTAACATCGCCTCTTGGTGGACGATGGCCAGATTCTGGTGCGCACAGACATGGTATGGGGTTGTCGGGGCTGCTGGCGAGGGGCTTAGGACCCCAAAACAAAGCCAAGCTTGAGAATTTACTGACACACGCTTCAAGATGGGCCATGTTGAGAGTCTCTGCATCTGCATCTCCCTCCCTCCCTCCCTCCCTCCCTCCTTCTCTCTCTCCCTTCCTCCCGCACTCCCTCCCTCCCTCCCGCGCAGTCGGAGCTGCCAAATTCTGAGCTCCTGGATGTGGAGGCCCACTGAGGACAAACGTGCTATCATGTGCACGACGTCGAGCGTGCACATTTTTTGGGATTTATGGACTTCGTCAATGCTGGGATCATGCGGCCTATGGAAAGCGAGGGAGCGAGAAGTCCAGGACACGAGCTGTGTGACAGCCACTAACTCAAGCGCAAGAAAGCAGAAAATGTAACATCTCTGCGCGGAACGTCTCAATCACGCATAATCCGAACATGGGCTGCATATAGCTCCAACAGGATAAGGCATCCCGTAGCAAGTCGCACTAGTCGTGCGCGTTCGGGAAGGTATCACCGTCAACACCTTCTTGCCAACACTCCTCCATACCGCTGGCTAAGCCTGTGTTAACCTGCTGATGGCTGAGCACGACGAAACACCCTTCTTCGTCGGAGCGTTGACTCATACTTTTCATTTTTCATTTTACAACACTACACCGTTTAGTGTGCATTTCTGCTAATTTTCTGCAGTCTTGATTTTAGATTTCAGTGTTTGCGCGGCCTTAAGCTGCATCTGATCTGAGCAGCACTGCTGCAGCAGGTGTAGCGCAGTGCCTGCCCGCCGGCAAGATTGCCAGGGTGGTTTGGGGGGGTTTAGGGTTTACAGGGGTTTAGGGTTTAGGGGTTTAGGAGATGCGTGGGAGATGGGGAACAGAAGCTTTGTTGTGGGGCAGAACTGAGTGGGGTAGCATGAGTCGTCACTTCGGCAAAGTATTTGAAATAAGGAATGCTGTTCTGTGCCAAGCTGTCACTCACCACCAAAAGACTCATCGTCAACGTCAGAACCTGGAGAAGGATCTGGATTTTGGAACATACCCTTACCCCCAAACAATCTCCACATGCCTCCACGAAGCCCAACAGAAACTCTACAGAAAACCTACACGAGCCATAGTCAGAACTCCGAGCATCGCCCTTAAAAAGCCCTATAATACTCCCCTATATAATCCCCTATATAATCTCGCTTTAAGGGTTTTGGACTATAGCTCACATGAACGACTTGTACAACCTATGTGTCATTCCCAGCTCTCCGCCACCGTAAAAACTTGACCGTAGCCTCCCACCCCGGAAAATATTGGGTTGCTGCTAAGGAACTAAACTTAAGCCAATTTGCACATTACCCTCTAGTTTGATTCTGAAATCTTAATAGCTAACTTAGGTAACTCCACGGCAACCCGAAACCCTGAAACCCTAGAAAGCCTAAACCCTTTGACAACTCCAAACTCTAAACAGCCCTAAGAATATTCCCTGAGGCTCCAAGTACCTAATAATCATATACTTACCCGAAACCTGTACTAGAATTACTGTTACCAAAACCCTAAGTACCCAATTATTGGGTACATGGACCCTAAACCCTAAACCCTAAGTATCCCTATATATACCTTATATATCCTTTTGAAGGGACCCAATTATTGGGTACATGGACCCTTAGGGATTGTTCATCTGCAGCTCCGTGAGCCAAGGCGCCTAGCCCTTCGTTGATGGACTCCAGGACGCCTTTACCAGCTGGGAGGAAGGGCAAGAAGAACATGATGGGAATTTCTGACAATGTGGTTCCCTGGGGGTATACAGAGGTTCTCAGGAGATTCTGGCGGGGAGTCGTTATGGACAGTTTCGAGCAGCTGATATAGATATATGTAGATATCAAGATTTCTGAAGGGCATGGCCCCTGCTGGAAGTCCGCGCAACATGGATTCTTTGGCCGGCGAGGGGGGGGGGACATAAGGGTACCCTGACGTAGGGGCCTAGAGAATTACCAATAACTCATGTTGAGATCTATTTCAGGTACTCTACCGCACACTTCTATAAGAAATCTGGACCACAACATTAGATGAGGCCTTATGTTCAATGACTTCATGTGCTCCATGCATTTGAACTTGTCCCAGTGTCTGAACCAAGAATGAAGAAAAAACCTCCTGAAACTCCCGTGGTCAACCCAGTCCAATTCCTGAAGCTACCTCTCGTTTGAGAACCTGTTGTGGGCCTGCTGTGGGATTTGGGTTAAAAAGCTGCTCCATCCGTTAAAGCTCATAGCAGACTACTGCCGGCAAAGGATATCTTGCGCTACTTGAAATACCTAAGTCAAGGAAGTCCCGTACATTTCGGGATTCATGGGGTGGTCTCCATCCGCAATACTCTTTTCGGGCCCGATGTTGCTGTGGCCGAGCCTGGAAGATCAAGAGGTGCCACCACCTGCGATGTGCTTATTCTTCAAAAATTAATTGCCGAAACTTGCGAGCTCTCTTTTGGGGAGTTGATGCAAAATGTGGGGAAATGATTTTTTGGGTGGCTCCTAAACTACGAACATACCAAGGGTGCAAAGTCGCTCTACCAATCTTGAGAAGCTCTGCCAAAAGGCCCTTGAGCAATATAGATGCGTTCACCGTGGCGCTTCCTACCAATACCTAAGGCATCCTTTCTGGACGGACTGCACAGATATAACGAAGCCCAAACAGCATTGTTGTTTAAGGTGCTGATTCGTGAAATCTAGCAAAACCTGGTGAAGACTGGGGGGTTGTGTGTCCAGAAGTGCCGGCATGGCGAAGCATTTGCACAAAAGCGCAACTACTGATGGGACTTCGCTCGAATGGATCCTGGAACCCTGAAACCCAAATACTGAACCCTGCCCTGCACCCACTTCGTTATGAACCAGAATGCCTGTTCAGGAGCTCAGAGAGAATTCTTGATATCTCCGAAACCTACATTCTTGTTGTGTCCTAGGAATTCTTGCTCCGTTAAAGGAAAAAACACGACGACATGGAAGGCTGACAGCACAATCGTCCCTCTTGGCTACCCTACAACATGAAACCCTAAACCCTTAAAACCTTAATCCGTAACACCTCAGCCACGGTCCCATGGCTCCGGTGATCGCCGCAGCAGACGGATTGCAGCGACATTGTGGAAGCAGCACTTTGCTAAGACCTACCCCTGTCCCTCTGGAAAATGTAGTAAACAATAAAGGGAGGTTGCTGTCCGGAAACTTGGGACCCAGGGTCTTCATAACACTGTTGCGCCCGATGAGCTCTTGACTTCTATCATAAGACGGGATTCTCGCTTAGGGGTACACGGCGCAATCAGGTCAATGGAACCCCCAGGGCAAACTGTCGCAGCACCAAATGCTCTTGGACTGTGAGGTGTTCACGATTCCAGGCCTTGGAAATCAGAGGATGAGCATAGAGCAATCCCTGGAAACTAGATTAGCTTGGATCTCCTGCCACCCCTCCCCTGTGCCCAGATGTAAACAGCTCAAGAATGCCTCACGGAGCCAGCAGCATTGAGTGAGATCGCATACAGCAATTCAGGCTGAGGCTTGAGAATTGAAACTCTCTGGCGTGGCATGGCTTTTCCTACTATAGCCTTACGAACTATAACTCCTCTCTAGTAGTCTGCAGAATCCGTCCTTCCTTACATACCACCAAAGAGCTTGGGTTGAGGCATTGCACCGCTCTACTGTTCAGCTATAGGCAAGATCAGCAACGGATGCAGCGACGAAGTTCTCCGACAATTGCAACAATACCGTCATGATAGTTGGATCATTCAAGTAATGGACTAATGAATATATATACATATATACATAAACTAATATATATATATACACAAATTAATATACATATATATATATACATATAGGGCTATAAGCCAGCAATTCAGATGAGGCAGGGTAAGGTTGCCATACGTTGCCCAGCCCAAACCCTAAACCGAGGAACGCAGGCGTTCTTCAGCAGCTCCAGGGCTACAAAGCGGTCGTTGGAGGACGCTTCCGGGTCCTCTGCGGAAGTTATTGCGATGGGGGGCCAGCTACTTGGATGCTCATGGGACTCAGTAACTACCTAGAACTGGGCTTATAACCCTACTTATAATCTCCCCAGCTAGCGCTTTGGGGGTTACCCCAATCATAAGGAGGGTTATAATCCCAGTTATAAGTAGTTACTAAGTTACTAAGTCCCATGGGCCTCCAAGTAGCTCCCCTATGGTTAACAGGCAATGAAGGCATGTAGAAGAAAATTCAAACACTTGTGGTAGTAAAATATGGTATAACATAGTATAGTATAAAATACAATGCTACAGTATATCCTTAATGTATACTATTATAATATATTAGTATAGTATAGGTTGAGACTCAAAGGTGTATGCTCAGGTCGTTGGTCATGGGATGTCTGAAGGCTTGTGCCTGGCATTCAGGCTAATTGCATTCCTTGTTAACATAAGGGGCGAGGAGTAAAGAAGGATAGTGAGTGGTTGTGTATGGAGTGCATAGACCACAAACCAAGCCTCTGCTTCCTCCTCAAGATGGCCTCATCTGTAGCAGGAAGGGTTCCAAAATCAAGATTCGCCTATCAGGACTTTTTTTTTGCTTCATACGGACCTTGTGGCGACTAGCAGAAAACCTGCCATGCCACCTGGGATCCCCGTCCCTCTAGGGTGTAGGGTTTAGGGTTGAAAACTCGCAGTAGAGGCCAAGCAGTCCTGCTCAAAGAGAAGTTGCTGTCGGGAACCAAAACTCTGAACCCTAAACTCAGGAACGGAATTGAGGCCGGGATTGCTGGCATTAGTGGCACGAAGAAAAGTCCAGCCCATGGACCCTAAAACCTCAAACCCCTAAACACTAAACTCCTAAACCCTAAACCCTACAAGAAAGCTCATGACTGCTCCTTGTTGGACAAACACAAAATGGGGGGGGGGGGGGGGGGGG